TCGCGCACTCAGTAAAGTGCTCTAAGAAGTGGGGTGGGCTGTGGAGCGGAGTGATTGGCAGTGACTCTCAGATCTCTGGGCTGTTTCCCCGGTTGCCTGGCTGACATGAGCCGAGTTGACCAGAACACATCTATTGCTGGACTCTGATTTACAATAGATGTAAGTAACTTAGAGATTAGAGTCGCTATCACGAAAGAGTCAGAAGCCTCCCAGCTCTTTGAAGGGCTTAGCCCATGCTGATCCTCGGGCCGTCCTGATAAGGTAGGAGTTTGAACAGGACTCCTGCATGTGGTGTTGTTAGCTAAGTAGTAGATTAATGGAAGGTGTGCTGTGGGGGCGGGAAGGGGTGTGAGGGTGTGTTGATGGCTCATTTTACAACTCTTTCTGCCAAGGTACACACTTTGCCCTCGGCTAAGAGTACTAGCCATAATGATAGTAGCTACACCTACCGCCACACCCCTGTCCTCAGCTCTGCCTGCACAACCTCTTTGGTGGTATCATTAGCCCCATCTCACAGAGCAGGAAACGGAGGCCTTCGGAGATTGAGTAACTTGTGCAAGACTCCACCTATAGTAGGGGCAGCACCGAAGGGTCCCCAGGGTCAGCGGTGCCATGCTTCTGTCCCGCCTGGAGACCTGGGAGTGAGGACAGTGGTTGGAGGAGGGAGGGCTGATGTCACGGCGGCCTGTGGACAGGAGGTTGAGGGAACTCGCTCTTGGCTCCTTGGGTTGCGTTGACTGTTCCCAGTCGGGGTGGTTGATGTCCAGGCTGTGACCCTGAGGTTTGCACAGCGATTGATTCTTTTTGCAGTTTCAAGACTGACCCACAGCAGGTGCTCACAGTCTCCCGGGGAGACCACCCAGGATTAATATCACCCAGCAGCCTGTTGTCCTTTGGACACCTGAACACACACACACACACACACACACACACACACACACATACATGCACACACCTTGGCATCATTTGTCCCAGCTTCTGTTTGTTTCTGTGGCTGTCTTTGAGTTCAGCTGGACCCTGTGGGAATGACTTTTAGTTTGAAGTTGTAGGAATGAGGAGTAAATGATTCTCTGTGCTGGTTTAGAATTTCCTTTCTTCTTGTCCAAAAGGTGTAGGGTGACAGTGTGTCCCAGATTTTTTTGGACAGACCAAAGCTTGACGATTTTGCAGTGTTGTCCCAATCAAAATCAGAATCAGGGCAGAGGCGGGGCCTAGAAAATAAGTTCAGTCAAATTATAGCCAAAGCAAGGCCGTCATTTTACCATAACAATGTGCCTTAGCTCCACAGATTCTGAAATTCACAGTTAGGCTTTGAAAAAATACGATCACTGTTGATGGAGGTGTCACAGTCTTTGTTTGGGGCCCTGGAATAGCAGGAAGAAAATGCTAAAATCAACCTACTCCTTGTGGGGGAGGAGGAGTGGCGATAGGTGGGTATTGCCAGTGTGTGTGTGTGTGTGTGTAATTTTCCTAAATTCAAAGTGAAATTTACAATATATTTAGAAGAAATGAGAGTTAATTAACATGGGATAAATGTGCTAGCTGATGATGTTCTTTTTTTGTGTGTGTGTTTTTTTTCAGGGAGCGAAATAGAGAGAGGCACAAATCACCCCGGAGCAAAGATGGCAGAGGATCCGAAAAGGCTGTCACCATCCAGGCGCCCACCGGGGAGCCCCTGCTGGGGAACGACTCCACGCGGACGGAGGAAGTTCAGGTGAGGGTCCAGGGTGGTCTGTAAGCACACGGCCCCTCCATCGGGGCTCTTTTCGGTAAATGTTTTCCTAAGTCTTGTAGCGGTAGGTTCTCTTGGGCTTTTACCTTTATTTTTCCAGCATGTTAACTAGTTTATCTGTGTCCTGTGGTTTCTTGTTGGTCTTACGGGCAGCCTGTGCTGCCATTGGCCAGCTTGCGGGCGCTTCCGAAGTGTGGCGGGTGGGCCTGCTATGAGTCGTGTTGGAAAGAAGCCAGCTCGGCTGACACCGGGGCAGAGGAGGGAGAAGTGTGGGCTCAGTGTCTGGAGACTCACTGCAAGGGGAACAGGATACAAGAGGAAAGGACCCTCCTTTCGGAAACCCCGAGTCCTGTGGGGAGAAGAGCGGGCGGTTAGGGCAGCCCTGAGTGAGCATCACTCCTAGACATGAAATCGATCAGGGGCCGCGTGCTTAGATGCCGGGTGGGAAAGCACAGGTGGACGAACCGGCCCTGGAACACACAAAAGGCCAAAGTGTGTCGGGCAGGTTGGGGATGGGCAGCAGTCTGTGGCTCGGGAGCGCCAGGGCCGTGAGCGGGGAGGGGTCTGGGACACAGGAGGATGCATTTGCTCCGTCGGGAGCAGCAGCTCCTATATCCAGACGCTGCTCACTGCTCAGGAGCGCAGGGGCTCTGCCTGTGGGCCTGGGTCCTGCCATATTTAGGAAAGGCTGGAGATCAGGATTTTATGTGAACTCACTCAGTGTTTTAAGTACAGTGGTTTTTGAACTGTCGCAGGTCCACTTAGACTCGGATCTTTTTCATTAAGTAAGGACAGTCCTGGGAATGTGTTTTCTCATCCTTATGATTTTTTGAATAATATTTTCTCTAACTTACTTTATTATTAGAAAATAGTATGTGATACATATAACATACAAAATGTGTCTTAATTCTTTGGGTTATTGGTAAGGCATCTGGTCAACAGTAGGCATTAGTAGTTTAGTTTTGGGGGAGTCAAAGTTATATGCAGATTTCGACGGAGCCCCGGGGTCAGTGTCCCTGACCCCCACATTGTTCAAGGGTCAACTGTTTTGGTAATTTATGAATTTTTATAAAACATTGTGTGGGGTCTTCTCTCTGGGTCTCCACTCTCCGGCAGCCCATCTGACTTAAACATCTGAGCTTATACTCAGAAACATGTTTGCATACCCTCCCCAGCTTGGGAAATAGATGCATGTCCAGCCTGGGCCCCAAATAACCCGGTGTGTGCACACACAGCTGTAAGGAGGTAGGACTGTGGAGAAGTCTCTGTGTACGTGTGGGGTTACACAGATGTGCATTTCTGAGCAGGTAGATGGGCTCCTCAGAGCAGGCAGGGTGCCCTTGGGACCCAGAGCTGCAGCTGCGGGATGAGGGTGGGGTGTGTCCAGGATGAGTAACGTCTGTAGTCCTCACTCTGTCACTGCCCGCCGTGGCCCTGGGAGGGTCGGAGGGGTGGTTGGGATGGATGGGGCCACTCCTGAGTAGACCATCCTCGGTGCTGTAGGGGGTCCGTTCCCTTCTAGATGTGGATCCAGAGGTGCTGATGGCCCGTGCAAAGGCACTTCTTCTTTGCAGCTTCTCTACGCCTTGTAGCTCCATTGGGAAGCTATTGGTGTTGACACCAGGATGACGTGATGGGAAATGCATTGGGAGGCTGTACTCAGCTGCTGTGTGACCTTGGCAGTCACCTTGGTGGGCCTCAGCTTCTTCACTGAAACTCTAGGAACATGGATTCGAGGGTCTTCGATCCTTTCTGTTCCAAGAACCTCAAACGTGAACCAGGCAGCCCTGTAGCCGTCTGCATTTTTTTAGGCTCAGATGTGCACACATTCTTAACATAGACAGGGACTTAGTTAGCGACGCTTTGGCAGGGGAAAAAAAAGGTGAGGAGCTAAATCAGAGAGTGTGGTGGCCGACAAAAGGACTGCAAGATGCTGGTCATGGTTTCAGCATTGAGTGTCAACCGAAGACTAGGCCCCGTACACCGCGTGGAGTCCCGCGTCGCCCTCACTAAGAGCATAGGCAGGTCAGTTATTTTAGGGAGCCCGTGAACTCACCCGGTGTGAAAGCAAGGTGCCATCTTTGAATTTCCCCCCTGCTTGTGATTTTTTTTCTTTTTTAAAAACTGAAATGAATTTACACACAGAGACATGAACAGACCAAAGTGTACAGTTTGGTAAACTTTAAGAGCGGAATAAAACCCATATAACACATACTCCTATCGATAAATATATTTCCATTGCTCTAGAAAGTTCTCTCAGGTTCTTCCCTGTCTCCCCCTGCCCCCTCTCCAAGCCCAGCTTTGATTTCTGTCCCTGTCGATTAGTCTTGACTATTTTAGAATTTCATGTAATTGGAATTACATTCTTTTGATTTGGACTTTTTTTCACGCAGCATCGTGATTGGAGATTTCTCCACGCTGTGTGTTTCCGCGGTTCCTCCTTCGGGATTTTTGCTGAGTCGGGTCCCAGGGTACAAATGTCTCACAATTTGTTACGCGTTTTCCTGAACGACAGGCATTTGGGTTGCACCATTTTTGGGCTCCGATGAATAAAACTGTGGACATTCCCGTACAAGTCTTTTGTGGACATATGTTTTTATTTTATTTTGATAAAAACCTGGAAGTGGAGCTGCTGGGCCATACAGTGAAGCATACATTTAAATGTCTATGGAAGTGCCAGGCTGGCTTTCAAGAGTGATTTGTGCGCCTTATGCTTCCTCCAGCGATGTCCGAGAGTCCTGGTGCTTCCTCGTCTTAAATGGTCCCTTCCCTCCTGGTGTGTGGCTCCAGTCGCTTTCCAAACTGAGGAACTGTCTCTTCACAGGCCAGGCCCTTCGCCCCTACCCCGCTCCTTGCCGTGGCCTGTGCATTTTGTGAATCCAATTTCTTATCCTTACTAGGTTAGAGGTTATTGTTCAGTCGTGAGAGCTCTATCTTGCTGAGTCAGCTGTTAAACTAGATTTTTTTAAGTTGGTGTCTTACACATTAATTTCCCTCCGTCTGACTTTTTTCCCAGTTAAATCCCACACACGAATCCCTGAGGCCCACCCTCTGGACTCCATGTGGCTTTTCATTGCCTCCTTCTCTGTTGTTGCTTTTCGGGGTGGAGTCAGAGTTGCCAGCGAAATAGCAAAATTGCTTAAAATCCTGACAACTGGGTCTTGTTCAATGAAGACTCTTGGCTGTAACTAGAAACCACCTCAGAGTTAAAAAGAGAGAAAGCAAGAAAGCAAAAGGCAGACACGCCGTGAAGATCCTGGTACCCCCGGGCCCTGAGGTTCAGCTTGCCAGGAGCACGTGTGTCGTGGGAGGAGGTCTAGCTGCCCTGGCCAGAGACTCTTGGATTTGCTTAGCTTGTTCCTTGAGAAGCGTTGCCAGGGAGTGCTCGACGCTGGTATTTATTAAATGGGCCTTGGGAACGTCACGGAGCTCCAAAAACTGTGTGTCCTCGCTGCAGGTAAGCCTTGATCCGAGCAAGGAAAGTTCCCTTCGATGCCTTCTGCTGGGTGAGCTACCGGAGGGCCCTTCCAGAAGGTGGGCTTGTAGCCTTCGTGACCCAGGCATGAGTGGAGAACAGGAGGAGGGTTTTCTCCTTGTGCCACAGGTGGGCCCTCCTGTGTTAGTCTAACAAGCAATGGGATTGGTTAGTGCAGAACAGATAGCCCCAGGCCCCTCCAAGCCTCTCAGGGGACTCCAACAGGGAGGGTGTGATAATCATGTCATAATGAGTCACCCAAACAAGCCAACAAAAAGGTCACATTACATTCTCTCTGTTTGTAAATAGATACAGTGCATTTTGAGAAATGTAACTGGTGATTGTTAAAGTTTAAAAAGTCCTGTATTGAACGCGTTAAGCTTCGATGTTCTAGGAAGCCCAGGCGGGTGGGTCGGTTCTGCGGGTGGGACCTCCCGCCCACCCACCGTGTCCGCAGGTGGCCTTTGCGAACGACCCGCTGCGTGCGGCTCTGCATCCTGGTTGTTTTCTCCCGTCAGGATGACAACTGGGGGGAGACCACCACGGCCATCACCGGCACCTCGGAGCACAGTATCTCCCAGGAGGACATCGCCAGGATCAGCAAGGACTTGGAGGACAGCGTGGGGCTGGACTGCAAGCGCTACCTGGGCCTCACCGTGGCCGCGGCGCTCGGACTCCTAGTCTTCCTCACCCCCATCGCCTTCATCCTGCTGCCCCCCATCCTGTGGAGGGACCAGCTGGAGCCCTGCGGCACCATCTGCGAGGGACTCTTCATCTCCGTGGCCTTCAAACTCCTCATCCTGCTCATCGGGACCTGGGCCCTCTTCTTCCGCAAGCAGAGAGCCGACCTGCCCCGGGTGTTCGTGTTCCGGGCCCTCCTGTTGGTCCTCATCTTCCTCTTTGTGGTTTCCTATTGGCTCTTCTACGGGGTCCGCATTTTGGACTCCCGGGACCGGAATTACCAGGGCATCGTGCAATACGCGGTCTCGCTGGTGGATGCGCTGCTCTTCATCCATTACCTGGCCATCGTCCTGCTGGAGCTCAGGCAGCTGCAGCCCGTGTTCTCGCTGCAGGTGGTCCGCTCCACCGACGGCGAGTCCCGCTTCTACAGCGCGGGGCACCTCAGGTGAGCGGGGCGTTCGGGAGTCTTCAGCTACTGAGCGGCGATGACAGGTGCCAGGGCCCGGGCTGACTCTAACTCAGGTTTTGAGAAGAACTGTGTGTGTGTGTGTGTGTGTGTGTGCGCGCGCGCGTGCGCGTGCTTGGTGTTCGTGGACATGGACTGTCCTCACTTAGGGATTTGGGGTGCAGTTGCCGGCTGTTATCCAGGTTAGAATTTAGTTGGGCCTGGTCTTGATGTTGGTGGCACCTCCCAAAACTTTTGGCCAAAGGGAGAAAGGATGCCCAGTGAGGGCTGCTGACTCTGCCCCTGAACTTGGTCTGTGAATGATGGACTAAGTGATCAGCACTTCCATTTGCTCAGAATGGTACACCTGGTTTACCCTGTCATCCCAGTGGGGTTACCAATCGTTCCTGTTCTGTCCACTATCAGAGGTGCCCTGGTTTGGGCAATAAATTACAAGGTCGCCCCGGCGACCCTCCAGTCACGAATCAGTGCAGCGAAGGGACCTCAGGGTCGGGTGTTTCGAAGGTGCATTCCTGAGAACAAGTTAGAAATACAGGGAGATGTCATGCTCTAAATCTGTGCATTCTACCTAATTATCGTGCGGTTAACGAAAAGAGCAATAACCATCATTCATTTACTTAATGTTATTTTTATTCATCCCAAGGTAAGCGTTTTATGTAAATTGCCCTGGTTAGTCTTCAATTTAAGTATTATTAATCTCTGTTACCGATGAGGAGAGGAGCATTTAGGGAATTTAAGTAATTTGTACAAGATAATATGGCTGTGGTTGTGGATTCGCCCACACGGCCTGACGCAGGGCCCGGGTTAATGTCCACGGGATGGTGTCTCCCGCTCTGTGTTTACTGGCCTATTTTTCCGTCTGTTTCCTTCCACAAACTATGACTCCCCGGGCTGGGGGCTGTGTCTCTCTGCATCCTCGGCGCCTGGCCTGGAGCACGGCACGCTGCTGGCAGTCACGTGGTTACACGCTGGAGGAATCCTCCGGGCTGCCTGGCTTGGCCGATGCGTGTAACCTGCTTGGCACCCGGTCGTCACGTTAATTGTAGCTGTCACTGCTGCGGTGCCGTAGCTGCCAGAAGGCACCTCAGTGGGTATCAGACCAATGGGCCTGGTCGTGTTTCTGGCTGGGGCCCGAGTACATCACCCTGGAGTCGGGTCACCCTGCCAACCCCCTCAGTGCTGGCATGCACCCGCTCGCACCCCTCGGACCCAGCCTGCACATCCTGGACCGGGTGGCTTAGGGTTCAAGGCCACGGCCACCCTGACCCGTCGCAGGGAAGCAGTTCCCGATCCACGTGTCTGTGCAGTAAACCTGCATTTCGAGTCCTCTCGGGTGCCTGGCGGCTCTGAAGGGAAGTAAGACCTGCAGCGTGTTCATCGCAGACACCTCACTGTCCCCGTGGTTCACGTTGGGCGCGAGCAGACTTGTTTACAACCCTGTGCTGGGCAGAGCCCGGGACCGGGACCCCGAGACCCAGGACGCTGCCCTCAGAGCGCTGTTCCGGAACTGCCGGGGCTCTCGTCCCCCGGGAGCGGTGGACAGTTGCTGACTCGGGCCTGGGCCGGGTGATGGGAGCACAGGGCGGGCGAGGGCATTCCAGGCCGGGGCAGCAGCCAAGCCGCGGGGAGCAGTCTGCCTCAGGACGGGACAGGCTTGGAGGCAGCTGAGGGGCGAGAGGGTCCCGGGCTGGTCCCAGTAGAGGTGAGTGATTGGGGACTTTGTAAATACAAGCGGCCGAGACGCCGGCAGGGAGGCCCGCTGGGGGTTTGTGTTTTGGCCCCAGCCCTGCCTCGTTGGTGTGAATCCCACCTGCGGAGGGAGAAAGGGAAGGGAGGCTTCTCACCTTAGGAAGTCGGGTGGTGGGGTACCTCCCCTCCGGGGCTCCCCATCACTCCTCCTAAGGCTGCATGGGGGTCATGGGGGGGACCAGCAGAACAGCCCAGGGCGGTGTGCCTGTGAGTGTTCGGAAATCGGCAGTAGTCCTGGTACCTCGCCCAGAGCCCTGCGGCCGGGGTAGACCTTGGTGGGAGGGGCTGGACTGATTGCGCCGTGGGGCCCGCAGGCTGGCCGCCAACCTCCCCCGGTGTCCTCGCCATGACCAGCAACCTCCCGTCTGTACTGCTGACCCTGAAGCATTAACCCCAGGCAGACGCGGGAGCTCCGGTTCCCAGCAGCCCCGGGAGGCCAGGGCGAGGGGGTCCCAGGATATGCTCGCGGCTCCTCTCCAGGGCCCTTCATTTCCCTCTCCCTCCCTCCTGTGGAGACCCTGGTTATGGGGCGGAACGAGGGCTGGAGGAGGGGAGACCCTTTATCACAAGTAGAGCCCTCGGCCGAGCCCGCAGCCCTGGGGCCAGTCAGGAGCTAGGGCAGCCTGGCATCTCCCTGCAGGCACTGCGTGGGCTCGGTCGCCCGCCGATCCTCAGGCTAAATCTGG